ACCTCCAACACTTTATGCTCAAAAAGGTTCCCATTTATAAAGAATAAGAGAAATAAAACCAATAATCAAGCCTAATAAAAAAGATTGAGGCAATTAATCTAAAATATTTAACCAAAAAAGGGCATGCCACATAGACAAGGGTGGTGGGGAGCAACATTACACTTGTATCACGTGTGAGTCTTTTGCTTCACTTCTCTACTTCTTCTCACCACCAAGCATACATTTTCGATGTTTTATTTCCTTAATTTTGTTATTTATAAATATTTTTTGAATCTAAAAAATTAATTTATGTGTAGTTCTCCTGAACCGGGGGCTATGAACCGGGCGAACCAAAGGAAATAAAGTGAAGATGGTTTAACAAATCCGCACGCTTAAGCACACGAGGGGAGAATGGAAAGGAAAGGAATGGAAATGAGGTTATGTGGAGAATTGTAAGGGTTACACATGGCACTCTTAGAGATAATCAAAGGATAATTAAATAAAAGAATGGGCCCCACGTTGGGCTAAGGATAACGGAAAGGGGCCCACATAAAACGGAGGAGGGTTCAATGATCTTGGGCTAAGCCCACGCCGGACCACCAGCCGCCACGTACTGGAAAATAACGCACCCCGTACATCATTATTCCGGTTGGTGGGCCCAATTCTCCACCTGCCTCCACATTCCATAGGTCCGTAAACTATTGTTTCTTTTGTTAATCATTTCCCGTAACAAGACTTCTCACTACTCGTTAATCCAAACTATAGACTATAATAGTAATTATACTTATGTCTAGAGGCTTAATTATGTGGTAATTCATTGATTTGTATGAGCAAGCTTAATCATAGAATTGGAGATTAGTTAGACTAATTTATACCTCTCCATAAAATGTGTAGAAAGACCATTAATCAAAAGTACGCATTGATGATGATCATTTCTAAGTCACACTATTAGTATCAATGATAGATATTGATGTAGTACAATATCTACATATATTATACTTTGCTATTTAATGGTTTATACATGTGTTTATTCAAATTTTTATTTAAAAAACTTTTTTTTTTAAGGAAAATTTTAAAAACTTCATATATAGTAAATTAAACATTTTTAAAATCATTATCTATATCACTTTCATAAATTTTTGAGTTCGAAAGTCATGATCAGAGTTATTTGATCATCAAGATGGCTTGTTAGCATTCCAAATAAGAGAAACTTTACCAATTACACTTATCTAAAATCATCCAATTATAAAACACATTTTAATACAGGAAAAAACTTAAATGAACTTTTGTATCTGCAAATATTGCTAACAAAATTAAATCTCAACCAAGCACAAACTAAATACATCTCATTTTGATTCAGTCTTTGTGTAATGGATGTCCTATTACGTGCTCTAACACATTTACAAATATGCCTAAACTTGTGCAAGGCGATAATTAGTGTATTTTTACATATTGTAGATGATTTTAAGTAAGGTTTTTCTAAAATGTTTTATTTGAACTAGTATATATGAATAATTATTAAATATGAAGTAATATAATAATACTTCGTATAAAAGAAAAATTATGATGTTAAACGATATACGCAAGGCCTTCTCTTCCAAGTTCCAAGCTAGTAAATATCAATATATGGTTTTTTTTTTTTTTTACAGAGTTGCTAACAAATGCCCTCGGGGCGTTGGATGAACATTTAAAATATTAGTTAAAGTGGTAATAATTTGGGAAAGAATGACAAAATCACGCGTCGATTGGTGTGATTAATGTTAATTTTTAATTTATCCTTCTATTTTAAACCAGCTTATCCAATGCCCCCGAGATTGTTCCTTAGCTTTTGCCTTTTTTTAATTTCTTATTTATGGCTTTAATAATGTACTACCTCCGTTTTTTTTATGTGCAACTTTGGCACATAAAACGGTTCACGAGGCAAAAGATTGAAGGGCAAAGATTAAGAAAGTATAATGGTGATTAATATATTATAAGAGTATGTAATTAAGGTGGAGAGAGAATGTTTGAATAATTAATCAAACCACCCATTGCCACCACCAAGACCAACCACCACCGCCGCCGCCTTCACCACCACCACTGTCGGCTTCACCACCACCGCCACTGGCTTCACCACCACCACTACCACCCCCACAAAACCACCACCACAACCGACCCCACGAAACCACCACCACCCTCACGTCTTTCCTTCTTTTTTCCGGCAGCCCCCTCCCTAACCAAAAAACCCAGATCTAACCCAGACCACCTAGACCCACATCTAACCCAGACTACCCCACCACCTAGACCCACATCTAACCTAGACCACCCCACCACCTACGCCACCAAGACCCAACCCTAACCCAGACCACCCCACCACCCAAACCCACCTCTAACCCAGAAAATCGAAACCCAGAAAATCAAAATCAAAACCCTGAAAATCAAAATCAAAATCAAAACCCTGAAAATCAAAATCAAAGATGAAAGAGAGAAAGCCGGTGGTCATAGGGAGCAACAATTGGGCCGGAATCATCACCGGTATCCGAGAACCCACCACCGCCGGCGCCGTGAACAAACTTGCAGGCGTTACCATTCGAAAAAGGGTCGTTCAAGAGACCCAGTTTTCGTTCAAGAATTCGGGTCTTTCATTGATGGGTTCGGGTTTGGATTCGTGTTTCTGGGTTTTGTCGATGAGAGGGAGGAAACGACGGTGGCGGAAATGGTGGTGGTGGAGAGGGCGGAGATCGGCGGAGACGACGATGAAATGGGGGTTGTTGGGGAGGTCGGAGTTAGGGTTTTGAGGGAGGAAAGAGGAGTAGGTGGAAACGATGAGGGTGTTGCAGGGGTGGAAAAGGAGGCCGGGGCGGGTTGAGACGACCGAGAGGATGGTGGAGATCAGGAGGAGAGAGAAAATGGAGGTCACCGACGATGACGCCATTGAAGGAGAAGTGAAGAGAGGAGAGAGAAAATGGCAGATTTGGGGGAATTTGGGATTTCTGAGGTGATGAAGAAATTGGGAATGAATTTCTGAGGGGAGGTAGCCTTGGAGAAGGTACAATTAGGTTAATGATTTTAGATTAGATAAAAAAGTTATTGTGATTAAAATAAGATAAGGATAACATTAAGAAAATCTGAATTTTTAAGTAAGGGTAAGTTTGTAATTTTCAGGGTTTTTATTTACCAAAAATAGAATGAAAAAGGAAAGTTGCACATAATAGTGAACGGACTAAAATGGCAAAAGTTGCACATAAAAAAAAACGGAGGTAGTATAAAGTATGAGTATATGCCAGGTTGGACATTCTAGAAATTAAAACTCTGTTGAAGAAGAATGGCTCGTTGAAGTTGCTAAAAGCTGAGCCAAGCCAAAGGCTTAAGCTCTTGATAAGCTAAGTTTGTTGATGAGAAAAATGAAGCAAAATAAAAAGTAAAATTATATTGGGCTCCTAAGATGATGATAGCATTTTTGGAGAGAAGTCGTTGTCGCAATTTATGAGAAAGGGGTCGGTTTGTGGGGCCCTTAAAATTCCTGTCAAAGAGTGAATGATACTGACATTAGATTATACTTATTTTTATAATTTAAATTTATATAAAATTGCGGACCAACCAACCACAGATCGCGTGCACATGATGTTTGAACACACTCTCACACATACATCCAAACATAATATTATTAAAAATTCATTAATGAACAACATTCCTAAAATGAACTTTTTGATGTTGTTAGTCTCGTTTTTGGTTTCTGAATATTTGGTGTGTGTTTGTTTGTTTGTTGTTAAGTGGGAACTAATTTACTCGTGATTCTAAATTAGCCCGTGCAACACATTTCTGACTCTTTTGGTCACGGTCAAGCATTCTATGCACCACGCTTATCTGACTTCCTATACTCTTTTAGTCTTGTTCACTTCCTAGTTCCAACCTAGGTGGTTCTAAATTTAATGTCAGTCATTTCGCCTATAGTTTACTAGACTCAACCTCATGTATATTTGGACACTGTTTTTTCACTATGTAGGTCGGTAATTTGATGATAATAAGCTTGAATAGTACAAAGATATCAATGACCTTGATGTATATATTCATGTTGTGAGATAGAAATTGCAAATTAGGATTTCCCAGAGAATGATACTGTTGTCTTAATTCCATTTCTTGCAGAACGAAACTATTGTTCCAATACAATTCATTGAATATCCCTTTGGTCTCACACTATAAGTCTGTATAATTATTGTCAATAAAACATGATTCTTAATTGTATGATCGTTATTTAAATGTTAGCTAGAGGTAACTCGACATATTGAAAATCTAACTTGATTCATACAATAACCTTATCTTATACTCCGAACTTTGTATGAACATAGTACATATTACTCCGTACATAATCAAGAAACAACACAAAACACTAGCTATAGTGCAATGGACATCTCATAACCTCGATCAAAAAAGTGGGAAATAAAGTGTAACAACAAAAAAATGAAATAAAAGCTATGTAAAATTTATATTTTGATTGGTTGAAGCATTGCATGATGCAATAAGGCATGGGACAAGGACTGTAGAAGGGCCAGTGGGTTTGGAGCTTTTGTTAGGACAACAGTCTTTCTACTTCAACTCACCATCTATTATCTATCCCAATTAAATAATAATAAAACACCAAAAAATAATCTCAACTGAAAGTCTCATAATTCCAAATCTGTAAATCAAACCATCTTTAAGAAGAGGCTTTAACAAGGCTAAAGCTCTCCACTTCCATTCTAGCTGTGCTGACGTTTTTCATTCTCCTCCAAAATTACTTTTTTTTTTTTTAAAAATTATTATTTATTTGTTGTATTAATTACTTGTATATAAATATAATAATATTATTATTGTCATTATCAGTAGCTGGTAAGAGGAAGAAATGAAAAGATAGAGATGTTTCCATGATATAAGCCCTAAGCTTATAAGCTTAATCATACCATACCATACCATCCCACCCTCCATATCTTTCTCATTGCCTCCACAATCCCCCATTTTTCGCGGCGAAAGCTTTCGCGGCAATCAATCCTAAGATAAGGAAGAGAGAGAAACAAATACATCATACATATATAAATAACCTAAGCTAGTACAATGACAATGATAATGAGACTACATTAGCTTTCGCCTAGGGATTGGCCTGCCCTTGTTTTTATTATTAGGGCTTTTTTCATTTTTTATCATAATTTATGCTTTTTTAAAACTCCTTTGCTTCTTATTTAACCCTCCTCCTTCTTCCTTTTTCTCACTTCTTCTTTCTTTCTCCTCATTCTTTTCCCTACCCATCCCATCCTTACCTCGGGATCTGATCCCGCGTCCTCTCCTCCTCTCTCTTCATCACCAATAGAGCTCAAGATTCAGTACTTTCCTCTCTCTACTTCGATTCAATTCCCGAGGAAGAGAAAGCCAAAAAGATCATTTCATATTCTTACTTACTCCCTCCGTTTCTAAATAAGTGTCATTTTTCAGTTACTACATCGTGTGATTGATCGTTTCCCAATCGAACAAAGTTTGATTCTTCTTCTCAAGCACATACAGTACAGTGGAGTGCAAAAGCTGATCATATCAAAAGGTTACGTTTCTAGTCCTATATATATAATCTCCTTAATCTAGCTAGATAGAACATCTTATTAAGCTAGTTTGTTAATTATATACTTGTATGCATCAAATTTATATTATACCAATTACATAACAGATTTTTGATAATCACCACGATTATAATCTGGGTTATTCCTTTTTTTTTTTTCCCCTTGTTCTACCATATATAGTTGTGATTGCTTTTGCTTCAAGATTTTCTATCATCAATTGTGAGATCTCTGCTGCTACTTCTTTGTTTCTATTTTCTTAAACACACCAAATGATATTAAAAACCGGCTTTTATTTTGAAGATATTTGATTCATGTATGTAATATGATCCACTTAATTATTCAAAGGTGCATGATATGAAAACTTGAAGTCTTCTAAGTAAGAAACTGAAAGGGTTTTTATTTGGCCTCTTCTTAAATGTCCAATTATTTGTTTTTTTTTTTTTTTTATAAATTTTTTTGATAAACTTTCTTTGAGATGATAAATTTTTTGAGGATATAAATAGGTGGTGCAAGATGAATCACTTCTTTTCTTTTGTTAATCGCGTAGTACGTTAGTCCACCTATAGGTTTGAATCGAATTTGGATCGATCTATCTATCCATCTATCTGTATAACATTACATATATGGGAATCAATCATATCTTATAATAGTATGTCCATCATTAAATTGTAGCAACAAACGATGGCGGTGAACACTTGAAAATGCATTCTTGTATTGAGTTCCTTTCATGAGTGGCTACAACAATGCCTTTTTTTAGCTTTTGGTAATTTTTATCTGGTTCAATGGGAATGTGAATTTATCTTTTTAACTAATCACATAATATGCCTTAAATGGAAATTTATGCATTATTATTAATTACTTGGTATGGGCCGAGAATGGAAAAAAAAAAAAAAAAAAAACCCCTTTTTTACCTTGTATTTGAAATTCCGCTTTTCATAAGGATCTAGTTTGTTCAATCTGTTTGAGATGTAGTAGTATAGCATGGGGTTTATATTTGTGATTGACGTTGGTTTTATACTGCTTTACTTTGTCTACAAAAGGGATAACTATGGAAAAACCATTTAAAAGTGTTAATCTTGATTGTATTGCTTTACTCTATCATGTTTTTCATGGGTAATCTTGATGCTTTAGGTATACTTTCAAATCTTAATCACGTTGACATGCATTTTTATAACATGCATGCAAATCAAACTATTTAGAATGATTGAATTATCTAATCTTAATCAACATCTATCTTTGTATTTATATTTAGTTTAGCTCTATGGGAAGCTAAAGATTTTTGTGTAGTTTGTTTGATCATTTAGCCAAAATTCTAGCATAAATTTATAATGTGTAAAAATCGATCTTCTATTCTTTTTATCTATCTAGTTCATTTTGATGATGATACATTAATTATTAATGGTCATCTCATGCAAGAATGAAATTAAAAAAAATATGATAAATGTAAGACTTTCTCCGATTGAAGTTAGTAATACTACGTAATTATTTTGTTGAAAATATCTTTCTACATGTCTCCTAAACAAGAGATCATCTCAAATTTGATCTTTTTCTCTAGTATCTATGCTCTAAAACATGCATAAAGAAATAATGGAAATACCTTTAAATTAGGTCCCCCCAACTAACTAAAACCCAAAAAATAAAAAAAATAAAATAAAAAAAATGATATACTACTCCTTCGATCTGTGTTAGCATGCTTCCTTTAATTTTCGATACATGTATCATTTAATTTTGACTATCTAGGGAAGTCAATAATACGAAGTACCATACCAAAACATAGAGAAAGCAGGACAACAATCAAGCCATACTAAAGCATGGAACATAATTTTTCTCTCTTACCTATGCTTGAACAACTATTTCTAATTACAAAGCTATTCAAAGTCATTACTCTACTTAATTTATTTATAAGAACATTATAATCAACTAATCTTCACTTACCGTCTTCAAATTTTCTAGGAAAAACATATAGTCCATGAAATACTATTGGTATTTAATTTTTAGGTTTTGGAAATTTCCAATATTCTACTAGCTTAGTGCACTGAAGAGGGAAGGTCACATCACTAATTTAAGCACGCAGTATCCTTTGCTTGTTGGAATATAGTTTTCCAAAAAATAAAGAACTTCATTTTTGAAATGTAGAGAGATTATCATTTGCTTCACCATCCTAACCATCACTGGTAACAATCACTTTATCCACTAAGATCGAAGATAGGAGAAGCTAAGGCTAGAGCAATTGGCTAATTCTTTGACTTTCAGGCGAGAAGAAAGGGCTTATACAGTTGTGTTGCATATGAGGTGTCATCACTGAGACTAATTAGCTTTATGGTTGAAAATTATGGTACAATAGAGCAAATCAAGGGTTCATATCCACAATAAAAAAAGATTTATTTGTCTGATTGTTTCAACAAACTTGTGATTGGTGAGCGCGTTAAAATATTTGCATTTGTTTCACCAACATCATCTTGTCTGCCACAGTAATTGTTTGACCAGATAAAAAGAGGTTGACTCTCTTAAGTTTTCTTTTTCTATTTTTTTTCTTCTTTTTTTTTGGCTTTAATTTGGCATGCGTTTGGTCCTCTGTAAGTGTTAGTGCAATTGGTGGCTGCCAACTACTCGAGTCTCACGAATTGCTTCCACATCTTATGACAGAATTATGCATCCTAATGCTAGGCTTAATTACTTATTTAAACCCCGCCCTTTTATTTAAGCTTCATTTAATTGCTTCATTTTATGTATAAAGTGCTAGCTATATGATCTAGCAGTAGCAATATTTGTATAAAAATTTATCTAGTAAGGAATTAGTACAAATACACATATCAAAACAGTACAATACGTGATTTTCAATCCTTTATTGGTTGTATAGGCCGCAAATAAATGTTATAAAAAAGTCAACAGTCCATTCAATATTTATGAAATAGTACATAGCTAGAAAAATTGTTCTTGCAATAGGGTAGTTCATATACCTCTAATTGAGTCATTTTATAGTGAATTTGTAACTATGTCCAGTTATGCATTAAGGCTACATGATGCATTATTAATAAAAAAAACTTCACAATAATTGCTTATTCATATGGCAATGCATGTTGCTAACCTTAACTTGAATATATGCATGACAATCTATCTAACCATAAATTGGGACAACAAACTAGAATTAACCTGATATTTAATTAACATGATTTGACAAAGCTAGTGTAGGATTAAATTGCTAAATCTCCTTTGGAAATAACATGCAGGTCCTTGCCCTAGCTGGATAAAATGAATACGTTGTCGCACGTTCCGCCGGGCTTTAGATTCCATCCAACTGATGAAGAACTTGTGGATTACTACCTCCGTGAGAAAGTTGCTGCAAGAAAGATGTGTGATATTATTAAAGATGTTGATCTTTACAAAATTGAACCTTGGGATCTTCAAGGTACTTATAATCTTTTTTGTTTTTGCAAGTATACATACAACTTATTTCTTTTAATTCTATCCATCTCTAATAGAGCAAAAATATAATAAACACTATTCATTGAACAATATGAAGTTATGTACGTATGAACCTTTATATTTAGATGCACCAAAGTAGTATACTCGATGTAATCATATAACCATACTCTACTAATCTAATGACGTACATTTTTATTTTTTAATTTTGGACTTAAAATTGAACAGAATTATGCAAGATAAGTAATGAAGAGCAGCATGAATGGTACTTCTTCAGCCATAAAGACAAGAAATATCCAACAGGAACCAGGACTAATCGAGCTACCAAAGCCGGATTCTGGAAAGCAACCGGAAGGGACAAAGCTATTTACTCTAAGCATAATTTGATTGGCATGAGAAAGACTTTGGTTTTCTATAAAGGTCGAGCTCCCAATGGACAGAAGTCTGATTGGATCATGCATGAATACCGTCTTGAAACTAATGAAAATGGAACTCCTCAGGTAAGTTTAATACGTAAAACTATAATTAAAAAAAAACCTTGTTACACGACGTTTTACACAAATTAAATTGGGTAACATATATAGTCATAGACTATACACGACCTATTATTTTTGAAAGGAAGGATTAGTATACTACTATATGCATAAAGAAAAATGAAATAATTTTGAAGTATGCACTTTGTTGGCTAATATATATATATATAATTGTGCACTACTTTTATCAGGAGGAAGGATGGGTAGTATGCAGGGTGTTCAAGAAGAGAATGGCAACCGTTCGAAAGCTAGATGACTCGCCGTGTTGGTACGACGATCAACTCTCATTTATGCCAGATATGGACTCTCCTAGAAGGATTCCTCAGCATCCCAATAATTATCATACACCTAACTTCCACCAACGCCACCACAACATGTACCCTTGCAAACAAGAGCTTGAAATAGCACCCTACAATATTTCTCACCATGACCCTTTTCTTCAATTACCTCAATTAGAAAGCCCTAAAATGCCCCAACCTAGTATGCAAACTTGTAACTCAATGCCACCCTATGGAACAAGCACGAATCTATCATCATCGTTGCTCGTTCAAGACCAAATGATCCATTCACAACAATTTGATTCGATGTATGGTAATGTATGTGGGTCGGAACAAGTACTTGAGGATCAAGTTACGGATTGGAGGGTGCTTGATAAGTTTGTTGCCTCTCAACTTAGCCAAGATGAACAACACGGTCCTTCTGCCGCGAATAAGGAGATAAATTACTCAAATGTCCCTATATTTCCTGTGTCCGAGCACATGAACATGGTGATAAGCCCTAATAACTCCAATAAGCAAGGTCAATTAGGGGCCTCATCATCAGATCAATATGCTTCAACGTCAAATTCGAGCTGCCAAATTGATATGTGGAATTGAACAAAGACTTTTACGATATTATATGCTAATTAATTAACCTGATCTTATACATATACATACTGATTATATAGGGGAATACAATTACTACATACAAGAGAAATCTTGGATAAGTTTCCTTGTACATAATAAACATGGTAATGCAATATTATTAGTAGGGTATTGGATTTGTGAGATCAACCTTAGGGTTGGTCGGTCCTCAAAGTGAACTTAGAATTGAAATGTGGTGCCTATTATTATTGGATGATGATAGCATCTGTTTTTAGAAGATTGAAAGGTTTCCAAGTATTATTGGGATTCATATTCAAAACGAACGAATATCTGATTGTACTTATTCTTATTCAAACTTAATTAACTTACATTTGAAATGAATTATTATGTTTTACTAAGCTAGTGTTTTATCAAATTCCTTGTTTCTTAGTCCTTGTATTCCATTCTATCATCTGATCTACTAATACTCGGTGTTGATTTTGTTGTAATGGTTTCTTAGTCCTTGTATTCCATTCTATATATATACATATGATGCAACACTTTTATTTTCCAATTTAAGAGGTTTTTACAAGTTTCATGGGTGTTTTTATTATGAGTTTCAAGTGAATGGTCGATATATTAATTTTAGACATAAGTGAAGGCCTTAGTTTCAAGGGACACAAACTTGTACTCATATTGATGTTCAAAGACGAATTGGTTGGTCTACTTATATCATTTCGTTTGGTTTATATATGTCACCTGTCTAATTAACTTTACTAAATTGTCATTTAAAATTGCCTTTGTGCAGTTGATTTATAAATTTAGAAGTAAATAATTGCCTGAATAAAGAGATCAGGTAATTTTAACGTCTATGTTGTTAAAGACTTCAATGAAAGCTAAGAATAAATCATAAATATAGGAATGCCAACAATCCTTGCGGTGTATTATAAAGCTAAGGTTGTGAACTATAACGTAATGACTGTAATTTAAAATTTAAAAACCTAGCTATGAGCTTAATAGTAGCCTCTTAAGATTGCACCATTTTCCTTGTTGAAATATACGGAATACTTCGTGGTTTTTAAACATGAATCATATCATACAAGCTATACTATATCATCATGTTCACCTTTAATGTATCTAGTTTCGAATATATAAATAAAACTATAGATCCAAAGAATAATACTTCCTCCGTTTTTTTATTATTGCACCATAGGGGTTGGGTACAAATATTTTGATAGTGGAAAAAAGTAGGAGAGAGAAAGATAAAAATACAAAATTGCCCATGTGACATATTGATAAATTAAAAAGTAAATGTGAAAAAGCAAGGGTATGTTGGGTATTTATAATGTGAACACAAATAATTTTTTTCCTAAAGAGGAAATGGTGCAATATTTGTGAAACTTCCTAAAAAGGCAAGTGGTGCAATAATAAAATAACGGAGGAAGTATGTTGGTTAAATTACGACACTAGTTGAGATCATATATATACATATGTTAAAATGAAGTGTATAAGTTTCGCACGCACTTATCAAGTACAGCACTAGGTGCATGTATGTGTTCGCTACAACAAATAGCTAGCCATTATTTTAGTAAGTACGGAGTATAATATATTAGGTCTGCTAAAGGTTTCTATATTCTTGAGTTTTCGGCAATATATTTCAAAGCATAGTCTAATTAATGGGTAGCTGAAGCTTGGATTTCAACATGCATGCAAGTCCTTCAAAAACATAAAACCTTTGGAAATTGTATCATTGTATGTTAAAGGACAAATTCAACCAAAAAATAAACTAATAGTTGAAGTCTAAGAATATGTTTTTATAATCTATCAACCATACGCATACATAATACATTTACGTAATGTGACTACTTCCAAGTTGTCAACAACATTATTTGGTTCTCTAAAGAAAAGTTTGTCTTATCGCGCTACATAATCATCTATAAGAATGCATACCATAGCTAGCATGCTTCAAGTACTACTGATCCAAATGAAGAAGAAGATAGGATATAGCATTATAGCTATAGCAGAATAATGCAAGAAAAAAAAAAGGTACTAATTTGATAGCAAAATTAAAACGGCAGCATATATAAATGTTTTTTTGGGCATCGAAATAAATTATAAACGGCATACATACTTTCGAATAATGTTTGTACAAAAACTAATGTACACTATACATTCAAGAAAAAGAAGCTGAAGCTGCATATATCTTCTTTTACTGTTCGATCGAAGAGCGACGACATACCTGAGTGAAGTTATGATTCTTGAACGATGAAACAATCTTCGCTCTTCATCCTCGTAATATTAAGCTTCATTTCTCCTAGAAAACAAATATATACATGTATATGCACAAGTTTTAGGCTCTAGCAAACTCTATTATTTTTATTTCATTGGCACTTGGGAAAAAATAAAAATATACACCATTGCATGCTGTATAGATTCATGCATATGCATTTAATGTGTGACCCAGAATTCTTAATGGACCGCAAACTTTATATAAATGGCTAGAAAATATTGTGGAAAAAAAAAAGTGGGCCAAAATTAGATTATAGTATGAGCTAACATAATGATTGTTTATCCTTTATTAGAAGAAGACCCAGTAGAATCCTCTTACTTAGGTTGAAGTCAAGCATCTGAATCAATCAATTGCTTTTAAGCAATGTCGGACAAATTAATACCAAAAAAGTTTAATTTAAATGTAAGTGCTACGATCTCATTTTGGCTGTTTGACACAATCATTGAGCGTGCTCAAATCAGAGACATTGTGGTTAATTAATTAGGCTATAAAGTATTCCAACTCTTAAATTTATAATTATTTTATAGCTTTGGATAATATTGTATTTGGCAAAATTTTGTATGAGGTGGTTTCACAATGACTAAGTATGTTATGGAGTATTTCAATTAGAGTCGATTGTTTTTAAGGGCGTTGTTTTTGGGAAAATTTCTAAATTATTCACTATATGTAAGAACCAATGTAATAACGTGAAGTCTTGTTTGATATTTCATGGTGAATTTTCGAAAAACATCGGATATAATTTCTATTAATAGAGATGTAAATAGTCAATGATAAATATTGACAAATGTGTACAATCAAATTAAAACAAGAACATAAAATATAAACGTCGATCTAGAGTATTTTTTTCAAATAGCATTTTAATGTTAAGCAATAAATTAGTATAAGATGTTGTAACCTAAAACTTAATCTTTAAAATATAATGGCTAAGTTTGACAAGCATGCTTGATTGCTAGGCTATTCCCATCAAAGTTGAGTTCCAGTTTCGCTATATTTTGGGTTTTCCCTTGTTTTACACTCACTTGTGGAATAAGGAAAAGAAAGAAAGTAAGCTAGCTATATTTTATGTCCTTTCGTTTCACGCATACAGGAGTGAGATATATTAATTTGGAAAAGCAATAAACAAGGGCATGATCACCAATAGACTATGTACTATGCATATAACAAAATACCATCACCTTTCTAGGGTGTGTCCATCCTACAACCTACATGCATGTGTATAAATACTCTCTGAATTAAATTCTCCACCTTACGTCTTTGCACATGAGCACTATGAAGGATAGCATATATGATAACACGAACGGGTGTTAAATTACATACACTCGGTTGTTGTCTCAGTCGATATGTCCGAGTTGTCATAACCTTCGATAAATCAAAATTTCAATAAAACTCTAACAGATAAAATTGAGGAGAGTAGAGATTGAATAGTTTAATTTAAAAAAAATATGTAAAAGAATTTAGTATATTATTTATTAGAAAATTGTAAACCTAATAGAAAAAAAAATCCGGCCTTAATAATTTATTATCCATAACAACTAGCAAAATCCTTGATAACCAATAGAGCTAATTGCCTAATTTATGAATTTTTTTTGGATTACTTCAACAATTTATTTCATTCAAATTTAACAGCTAAAAATAAAAATAGTTAGTTAAGTGGATAAATATGTATTATGAAAAGAACATAATTATTACACTGGAAACTATTAGGACCCCAAAATCAAATAGTCATAAAAAAAGAAAAGTATTAACCTAAACACACTAATAAGTATGCTATAGCTATAGGAGGCCATATATATTACTTGTATATTATAATGGGGTTAGAAAGTTAAGGAGCCTCATTATGTGAAATTATGAGTGTAAAAGATTAATTAGGAGTTACTTCAAGTTTTAATTTAGAATGCAATATATTGTTTGAAGACTAAGAAAGATAATATCATTTGATTTTTCTCATGTGTAGCAGCACCTCCATGTGAGTGCCTGAAACATCTTCATTTTTATGTCCTTCAAAGCTTTCTAATTTTATTACATGGGTCCATCTATTTTATCCAATTACATTTTATCCACTTGGCACTTAGTAAAGTCCCAAAGAATCACATCCTCTTTTTTTTATGTAGATAGTAATATTGCATAGTATTTGTAGTAAAGACTAAAGAGTAGATCATACACTTTTATAATTGAACAGTGCACTTCATTGAAGGATTAACAATACGGCACACTAACTAGAGTTGATTTTATTGCGGTAATTTGTCATACGTTATATTGTTGAGAAGTGATTTGTTTAATTACTAAAGTTGATTGTTTAAAAATAAATTTTTCTTACGTATTTCATTAGCATGATAAAATAATAGTAATCAAATGTCTGAAATTATACTTTTAAACTCATATACACACAACAAGCCTATATTAGACAAAAATAATACTAGCTGATACAAATGATTATGGTTTGCACATTTTTCGATCCGTCTTAGAATATAGATACAACCTCTCAACTTTCAACTGTCAAAGAAGTACGAAGTATTATATACATCATTCGTACTTCGTATATTGATAACAAATTGGTGTACGAAAAGAACAAGCTAAGTGAAATACCAAATGATTTAATGTATGAAGAATTATAAATGGAAACATTATTATTGAAGATGGGATATAACATATCAGGCCGTCATGATTTGCTTGAGAGTGAGTGATCAAATAATGTCGGACATTATTTAAATAAAAAAAATAATAGTAATTTATTTTGAAGATGTTATAGAAATAATTAGTAAGTTGATAGACTAATAGGACACATTTACTACAGTTTATGCTTGAGGCGCAGTCATTAACCCCGACATTTTTCTTTTTCCCCACTTTTTGTTTCTTTACTTGACTTTGTCATCAAGTCTTACAAGTTAAAGTGTACAACAACGGATTAACATTCTAAATAAATCAACAAATAATCTAATCTCACCTAATCTGACTCAACCTCTTACTCTCAAAAGACCTAAATAAGCCGTTGGCTTATATAACAGATATTGATTACAAATAGTCTTAAGGATAGTACTTCCTTAACAATGAAGAAATTAAAATTCAATTAATACAATTTAATAGAAAGATTAACTCTTAAGCCTATGGTAGTTTTTGTACATTTCTCAAATGTAGGACAACTCATTAGTAGACATTATAAAGTTTCAATTTTGGTGTCTTTGAATTTTACGTTTACTCTACTTTGTCAATCAATTAATACTATGATGTGGGTGGCGCAATTGTTACAAATACAAGTATGTTATAGGTATATTATAGAATTAAGAGACTGGCGAAAATTAAAAATAGTACAGTATTTTAGAAAAATCTCAATAATCAACTACATAGTATAATAATAAATCATGAGTAAAGATTTTCTTCAATTTACAATAACATTTGGAGTATATATTATGTTTAGAACCCAAAGCAAACGCACAATACCTCGTTATGTATCACTCTTTATTGATCTAAATGCTTATTTTGACCACTAAGCTAAGACTTAGCTGACAAGCAAGAATGAAGTGTCTCATAATTTAGGTGAAATTAAGGCCCTCAAAGGATTCTTCATCATAATTGTAAACACTTCCTTCTCATCCAAATCTACAACTTCACCATCAATTGCTTTCCACTCAAAATGCCAAACTAAATTAGCCACCATGTATTCCAAATTCTTCCTAGCCAACACATTCCCCGGGCACATCCTTCTTCCTACTCCAAAAGGCATCATTTTGATCTCTTTCCTCCCAGCCACATCAAAACTTACACTAATTTTTTCGTCCTGACCCAAACCGGACTTCACCAAAAACCTATCCGGGTTAAACTCCATTGGAGCCTCCCACACATTCGGGTCACGCCCAATGTCTGCCACCAAGACATTAATAGCCGCATTCTTGGGTATCATATACCCACCAATTTCAATATCCAACCCGGCCCGATGGGGTATAACCATGTGGGCCGGGGGGTGGCGTCGTAGGACTTCTAATATAGTGGCCTTTAAAAAGGGCATATGATCCAAATCTTCCTTTAGAACATTGGACCTTCGCTCGGGCCCAAGAACTAGTTTGATCTCTTCCACTAGTTTGGCTTGTACTTGTGGGTATTTAACTAAATTAGCCATGGTCCACTCTAACTCAGTTGTAGGTAAATCTGTACTAGCATTAATAAACTCATTGCACAAACTTACCACTTCATTATCCATCAATTTTCTTACCCCTCCCTCTACATCTTCATTTGGAATATCCAACTCTAATAAAGAATCAACATAACAATATTGTACCATTTTTTCTTCCTTCTCATTTTTTATTATTTCTTTTCGGGCCTCGATTAAACGAAGGTACACCTCATCGAGCTCCTTTCTTAGGTTTTGGATTTCGGCCCATCGCCCGAAATCTTTGTCAACTTAGGCCATAATAAGTGAACACTAGACCCTAGTGTAGGGTCTACTACCTACACCCCCATGCAAAACGGTACCGTTTTACCCTTCCTCCCACTAACTCCTCACTTCCCATATATTATCCACTTGCAAGTTGCTACAGTAACCATCTATACCCCATACACTACACTAAAAAAAAATGAACCACCATTCAAATTCTCTCTCTTCATTCTTTGCATTTTATTTCCCCATTTTCTTTCTCATCAAAATCTTCAATATTTGCTAATAAATTTCAGTAAAAAGTTATAATTCTCTATAATAGTCAAGCACAATGTCTAATATATGAGACAAATTTACACAATCGCTGGAAAAAAATACCAAAGCAAAGTCAAAAATCGAAATTGTGAGTGTTTTTGTTGATTTTTGAAATGAAAACACAAGTATAATGTCCTAGTTTTTTTTTATTGGTTTTTGTTGCAATTGTGTTTTCATGAAAATAAAAGAAACATCCAGCTTGAAAATGTATCAACGTAAGTATGATGATATAATTTTATTTTTTTTTAAAAAAAAATGGGGAAAAAAGTAAATTTGTGGTGTGTTATTAGTTTATAAAATTGCTGGACTCAAAATTTTTTTAAAAAAAGAGTATAATTGTCACAAATTTCAAGATAATTTAATCTATTTCATATGAGTATAGATTTGTAAATTTAGTTCGTAGTGGAAAGTTCTATTTTTTATGAATGTTCATTTTTAATTTGGTAAATGTTCATTTATATATTAGTACGATGTTATTCACATGTTAATAGATTATTAATATAATTAATATTCATTTATATATTAGCACATGATCATTCACATATTAATGTTCGTTTTTTTTATATTTTGAAGTGGAAACTTCTTTGATAAATGACTAAATGTTCATTTTTAATTGATAAATGTTCAATCACATAATATTATATGATCAATTGCATATTAAGATACATTTATTAGAATTTTGATATATGATAAACATATATTTATACTACTAATTAAAGCACCAATTATATCATGAAGTAGTTAATTTTACAAATTTAATAAGGAATTTCAATAAGAGCGTGTGCTATATTGTAGTTGTCATGGAAATGATTCTTACATACAATTACAATAAGGAGTGTGTGCTACCTTCAAAAATTTTCAATAACAAGTACAAAAATTATAAATTTTATACATTTTTCATCAATGATAATGCTCCTTAATTAAATGTTCAATTATAAATAATTGTATGTTCATTTACAACTATTAAATAAATATGTTCAGTTTTGAAATATTTCAATTACAAATATTAAATAAATATGTTCATTTTTAAAATATTATATGTTCAATTATAAATAATTGCATGTTCATTTACAACCATTAAATAAATATGTTCATTTTGGAAATATTATACGTTCAATTATATAATTGTATGTTCATTTACAACTATTAAATAAATATGTTCATTTTAAAAATATTATATGTTCAATTATAAAATTATACGAGTATACTGTTTATAAAAAAATTTAAAAAATATACAATTCTCATTAAAATAAGTAGCAAGCTTTATCAATGGTGATTTGAGCTTCTTTATATTTTCCCTGTTTCTTAATCCTTTGCACTTTCCCCCTCTAACCCACTCAACTAATTAAGCCACAATAATCATTGTTGCCTCATTACCACACGACCACTATTGTCTCGTTGTCGCCACTATCATCGCTGTCACATAAAACCATCATCTCGCCACCACCGCTGCCATAACAACTGTAATTTGTTTGTAATTGCTTCGATTAGACTTGCAATTTGCTTATTGAGTTGATTTCTTGTGATTTATTAATTGTTTTTTTTTTTTTTTTGAAACAAAGGATCACCAATTGCTTTATTATAATTGATACCATGGAAATCTCTTCACACTCTTTGTTTTATACGAGTACAATAATTTTTACACGGAATTGAAACTCAAAATATTGAATTAACTTGCAATGGTATATAACAAAAGAGGGAAAAAAAAAAGTAAACATAAAAAAGAACAAAAATGACGTGACTTGGGGAGGGGGTGTAGGTAACAAAGCTACACCAGGGTGTAGTGTAAATTTTCACTTAGGCCATGCATGCACTGAGGATATTGAACTTCCTACTCGGCAAGCCCAATAATATTCGCCTACTGATTGATTGTACCTCTTTGATTTGGGCTTCATTCAAAAGAAGACCAAAACACATTGCAAATTGTAGGTGGAAAATGGATTGAAGGAAATGTTCTCGAACTTGGATTGGGCTCCCATTTTTAGAACGGGCCTCAAGGTTGTGAATAAGGATTTCCACAGCCCATTTACGGACAGTAGAAAAGGATTTAATATGGGCTGGGCTCAAAAAGTGGGTGGCCAAGTTGCGGCGTAAGGCTCGCCAAGTAGGCCCATACGCCGCGGAGCTTACAGTATGTTGGTTGCTATTGAATATAATATGGGTAGGATGTGACATTAACATATCAGCCGTGTTAGCACCATTTTTAACGAGTATTTCGTGGGCTAAAGATGGATCGGTTAACCAAATGGTTGGACGAGAACCCACCCATAAGGTTAATATTGGGCCAAAATTAAAACGAAGGCGCTTTACTAGAGGAACCGGCCCATGTAAGGATGAGTACTTCCACATAAGAGTAAAGGGAGATATGGTGGGTCCTGGTGGAAGAGGGAGATGATTTATGGTTTTAACAATGGTGTTGAATATTGATGTAAGAAAAATAAGCAAGGGCTTAACTAGTAGTGAGGAGCAAAGTGAAACTATGATGATCAACCATGTCTCCATGTTTGGCCTTGTGTTTTTTGGTTGTACAAATAGTTATATACGTAGCTATGTACATTTATAGTAACAATTAAGGTTGAAAATTAACAAGTGTTTCAATTTGCATTCGTCTTGGCTTATATCACCATTGATTAAGTAGCTAAGCTAATATGTCATCAACAAACTTTTTTTAACTATAAATTAATAATTATGAAAATTTTCAAAGGTCAAATCACGTAAAAGTTAGATTAGAGACTTGAGGGATGTATTACTTTTTACTACTCGTAGTTTATTATGAGGAGGATCGGTGAACTTAGAATAATATGAATGACTTAATAATTATGTGAGGTCAAACTAGGGTCCCTATATCTGAAACTTGTAGAAGTTAATAGCTCCTTTGATTTTGGAAAAGGAGTTAGTTGACCTTTTGTAACATTATAACTTAGAATAAAAATAAAAATAAAAAAATACTACGTACTTAGAAAAGGAGTGTTACGGACAGTTTTTATAGAAGCATTTTGAAACAATCAAAGTTATTTGTCAAAAACACGAAATAATTTGTTTTTATAACTATTTCATATGTGTTCCTTAAAGAAATAAATGGTTATGTAAGAATATGTATAATAATAACACATGTGGTAATTTCCGATGACAAAATAATTTGATTTGATACTCAATCTAACTCTATCCTAAAACAAAAAGACCCTTAAATATCTTTTGACCCAAATCCAATAATGTAGAAGATTACGACCCTTTAATCACCTTCAGACAAGATAACTAATATAATCAAGTAGTACTCCATACTCTAGTAACTACATACACATGTCTCAAATTAAATTTATAGCTAGCATTTCAAAGCTTAAACCACTTTTTCCATATTTAATTCTTGTACTTTAGAGTACTGAAAAAAAAAAATGAAAAACAGAATCCCGGAAGATTGAAACAAGCTGTAAAATAAAATTGGTAATAACCGTGTTTCCAAAATTAGAGAAGCATAAACTTGGATCCCAAGCAATGAAGTAGAACTAGCAAGTCGGTTTAGTTTACTAGGAAGTCCATCCTCTGTCTTCCTATATATATATATATAATATATTATATAATATATTATATATATATATATATAATATATATTTTCCCCAACAACTTTCCCTTCCAAAATTGAAAACCCTACTCATCTATTCACTATCATTTTTATAATGGCGGTCGGTAATGGTTTTGATGTTTGGGACGACGAAGAAGAACCCCAATACCCTTCTGATTTCGAAGAATGTCTTGTTGATGAAGATGAAGATGAAGATAACAACAATAATCACAACCCCCATATTTATGAACCTCTTGTTTTTTCTTCCGAAGAAGAAGAGCCCCAATACATTGATGATTATTACATTTATGATAATCTTTATAATCACGAGATTATGATATCCACAGAAAACGTTGATGAATTTGAACATCAAACAGCCATTGATTTTGGTGAAGTTGATTCTTTTCAAGGGTTTGGTGCTATCTCGTCAGAGGAGGATTTCGAACAAGATTTCGTTAATGGACTTGTTAATGTTGATGATTTCGAGTACGAATTCGAGTTCGTTGATGATGATAACAATGAGTAGATGAAGGGCTTGAATTCTGTTGTTCGCGACTTTCCTGATGGATTTGGACAGACTGGTTCTGTCATGTATGAGAGGAGGAAGGTTTCTGCTGTTCGCGATTTTCCTGATGGGTTTGGAAGTGGAGTGCCTACGACTGATAAGAGGACTGTTAGTCTTGAGGAAGTCCAAGAGACGAGTGTACAAGAGACGAGTGTACGAGAGACGAGTGTACGAGAGAAAAGTGTACAAGAGCCTCCTGTCAAGAAAAGGAAGACTACTTCTGATGTTGGCGATTTCTCTGATGAACAAGGAAGAGTTACAGTTTTGGCTTTGCAGGCTCCTCAGTTTTGTCCTTGGAGGGATAAAAATGGTAATCTCAACAAGGGCAGATCTCATCGTGGTTATTTACCCTAATAGGAGATTTGGAGACAGAGATTCAAGATGATTATTCTTTTCTATGTTAGATTCATTCATTGATAGAAATTAGTTGCATGTTAAAACTTTTGTAATGGTTTTAGTTTTTGCGTCTTAAGGCTTGCGTTACCGCATTATTCCTGACAATTCTATTCCATTGTATTGTTAACTATGTTAAGTTTTACTAGTATTTGTTTTGTGTTATTTGGAAAGGAATTTCAGGCAATATCTAATGTGGTAGCTGTTTCCTTTTTTTTTTTTTGGCTATGATACAAGTTTGATGTTGGTAAATATACATTGAAAAGGCAAATTAATGAACAAATTTTTTTGATTATTCAATGCATATATTATTTCTGGTTTCAATTGGATTGACAAAAATTCAGCTCAAATGATAATCCAAGGTGTCAATTGAAGTTCTTTTCAGTGGAATTGTTACTTTGTATTCAACATATGATTTGCAATTTGAATTAGTATCTAAAAGAGATTGCTACAAATTATCTGAACTACATATGCTCCACATGAAAATTTTGGTCTTTCTAACAAAGCAACCTATATTTACATATTAAAACAGAATTCTTGCTCTTGTACTCTGAAAATTACCAGATTATTTTGCATCGCAAAGGCCAGTTTCAGAATCACAGAATCCATCGCGGTCAAGCATCTTTTGAGGAGGAGCGCTTAGTAAGGGAGAAGATGGACTACCATATGCATTTCTTCTCTTGTTTCCGCAACCTAGACTTACCCTCGTGTTTACTCCTGTCATGGGATTTGTTCTACTTGCATACTTGCATAAAGCCTGTACAGGACACATAGAAATTAAGCAGTATTCAACCATTAAATAAACTCAAAAGAAACCTTTAGAAGCATAAGCATGTAATGTTTGCCGCCGGCTCTTCCTTCATTCGAGTCCTTTGGTGTGAAAAAAGGAGGTTTACCAGTTTCTGAGGTAAGTCAAGAACAGCGTCGCTAAAATCAGCACCTTCAATGATGGCACCAGCAAGGTCACTTCGAGTAAGGACTGATCTTACAAGGACAGCATTTGTAAGATTTGCATCATTTAGGACCTGAAATTTTAAGAAAACCTGCTTGAATACGCAGAGAAAAACCTCATCCTTACAAAATCAAGTTTTAGTTTAATGAAAGCAGAAGCTAAATCTCGAACAATTAGCATGATTTGGATAACTGTCAGACTTCTGAAACAGAACAAGGTGACAAGTTTATAGTTTGAATTCTCTAGAGAATATAAATGATCTACAATAGTCCATGATCAGTAAGACAGTAGCTTACCATACGATCCATCAGCGTATCACTAAAATCAGCACCTGGAAATTGGGAAAATTTTGACATCAGTTTATCAAATTCCACCAAAATGTCTAATTCAAGAATGCAGGAGATTCTTGTCTGATATGGTAGAGTTTTACTATCTTTAACTATTGGAAAGACCATAATTTCTTTTCTTTTAATTATCCTATGGGCGACTTATAATATCTTGCAAACAACTAATTAAGATAGAATCACCTTAACTTAAGATAGCCAATGCAGGTTGATTGGATTTGAATAAGTTGTAAAAGGTGACCATGTCAATTAGTCCAAGTAAACATCTATAGTAATTGAGAAGAGTAGAAGACTATAATTACTTTTCTTCTGATGATTTTACGGCACAAAAGACATTCACACTAGACTGAATTCACACCAGGTAGCTAAAGCAGGGTGATTGAGTTCAAATAAGTTGTAAAAGGTACAAGTATGACCGCGTCAATCAGTCCAATTGAACATACACCAGTTTGTGATTTATTAGTTAACTGATTCACTAGGACTAGATACTGCAAGTTCAATGCAATGAAGCAGTAATGTATGTAAGATTGTATCCTTAATGTAGTAAACCAATTGATGAATTGAAGTATTGAAACATACCAGTGAAATTGGCTTTGTAAGCAACAGCTTTCTCAAGGTAAGCACCATTAAATGTAGATCCACTAAAATCTGATTCCCTCATATCTGCTGATGTGAAATTTGCCCTTCTGCAAAGTATACATTATAACATCAGTATCACATTTTTTCCACTTCTCCTGCTTAAGGTTTGTAGTCTTGAATATTCACTTGTATTACAATCACAGATTATAATGTATTATGTACACATAAAACAAGAAAAGCTCAAATCTTTTGACTAGAGCTTATAAGAGTTAACAATGAATGATCCCACCATTCCCACCAACTGAATGCAACTAATCATTCATCAAAAATTAATAGTCATGTCAATAGCGTAATTTGAACACTAGACTAGTAATGTGACAATTATATTCAGACAGAAAGATAAATTTTTGTTACAGTACCTGAAATTTTCGTTGACATGAACAGCTTTTCTGCAACCAACCAAAACAAAAAGAGGAAGATATCAATTAATTCAACCAACTCCAAATTTTGACAGTAAAAATTGCAAGTGAAAAAATATGATCAAAGAAGAAAAGCAGACTTTAAATCAGCAGAACCCTATTGAGCAGCAGAGCCAATCCCTAATTCGCCTCGCATTTCGGCTTCAAATTTGTTTAAATCAGCCAAAGCAGGGAAGCTAGTACTCAAACTCACAACTGCAGCTGCTGCTAATGCTGTAGAAACCCATGCCTTTAACCTCTTTGACTCTGCATTTACCAACTAACAATAATCAATTTATCTTTTATGCAACACCCAATTAAAGATAAGTGATCCCAATTCAAAATATAATTTTTTAAAACATTCATGAAATCAAAAATTTTAAATTACCTAAGAAAAGTACATTCTTGGGATTTTTTTGTTCCAATTGACAAATAATTGGAATTGAGGAATTTGAATTTTTGTTGTAATTTGATTTAGGTGGTAGTAAGGAAAACGAACAAGTTGCCATAATTTTTTGATTTGTACTAAATTCAAGCCTTTTGATTTAAATTTGAGTTTGATTGGAGAATTATTAGAGTAGAAGGTTGGTTAATTTTCCCTCCAAACAATATCAGATTGTCTGTCATAGGATGATGAATATGATTGGATAAG